TTTATCAGTTTAGCCTCATCCAGGGAGAACAAGGATCAGGTCTCCTTGGACCAGCAATACGCAATAAGCACTTGTATAGAGAAGGAAAAGAACAGAAATGATAATAAACCCCGTAGTATAGTCAGGGTAAACATAGCATTGTTTTTGGGCGGGACGCCTCTACGTCAGTTGGTTCGGGAGCTTTTTGTTTCACTTCCCACCCCCCTCCCTCTCCCCCCTTCAAATAAATAAACCCACCACTCCAGCTTTGTGCCTTTCACTTCGGTTTGAAAGGAAGAAAAAAATTCTTTTGAAAAATCCGCTTCTCGGTGCTGGGTGCTGGGTACTTCTCAACTATCTCCATGGTCCCACGCTATCTATTACCTCCTAACGCTGCACGAATTTAATTGACAACTCCATGTCGACAGCATCTACCCAATCCCGAGGAGTCAACCGACGGATTAACAGCCTCCAAAATGAGGGTCGTCATTCGCGCAACTCCTCTGTATCGCGACGCCGCCCCCTAAGCGCCAACGTGGCATACAGCCATGCCATTCGGGTCGCCTACCTTGCCTATCTCCTCAATCCTCGCTCTCGTCGCATCCAAAATGCCCCCGTCGCGCCGGCGCGGCCAAAACGATCAGCCACTATGCATGATTTAATGAGCGATTTCTCCTTGGTCAGGGACTCCAAAAGCACCAGGATTCCGCATGGCTTCGTGTCCGAATTGGAGAAGCGGTTGACTGGCGTCTTGATGGGAAAGGAGAAAAGGAAGGAATATCAGGATCACCTGGTGGTGCGGACATTCGCTGTCTTTCTCAACGTTCTGAAAGAGGACTCGTTCCGCAAACGCATGGAGAAGGACCGCCGAGCTGAAGATCTGCTCCTGATTTTCTACTCCAACGCAGTCAAAGAGATGGGCAAGGGCAAAGAACAAGACGATGATAGCTGGAAGTTCATGGTCGATCGACATGTTGCGCTTTTTGTCCGACTTCTTGCCCTCACCTTGAAAGATCACGAGTGGTCCAAGGACCGCCCAGAATTGGCCAATCGATTAACGGTGCTGGAGAACAAGCTTCTCCTACAAGATCAGGACCTCATGCAAACTAATGGGCCTGCATCTACGACAGAGAGTGTTGGCACATTGAGTTATAACGTGAAAGATATGCCCCTGGTGCAACATGTGGCCAAGATCTTTGGGATGACCACATCCGAAGCACAATCCGAGATCGATAAACACAAGTCCACCTGGACCGAAAAGGCCGCTCTGCAGGACCTGAAGACCTATCAAGCCCATCTGAACCTCCAGACACATAAAACCTTGTCAAGAGAGGATTTTGAGTCGGACGAGGGTTATGATGCCTGGAAAAAGAGCGAAGGCCCTGATCTCTCACAGATGATGCTCGCAATCATGCAATCCCACCCCGACCTAGCCAAGAGTACCCCGGGGTCTCTTCCTCAATTTAATTCGAGTTCCCACGACAACTCCGACTTATCAAGGACATCGTCTGGTCGGACTGACAGAACATCTTCTATCATTGATCAGCCTGTTGATTTGAGTGGGCTTTCTCTAGAACAGTCAGATGAATCCGATACATACACATTCATACCATCTGACCCTAGGTCTTTGTACAAATACATCTTGACCCAGACCTTGACCCATGATCTGCGGGATCGGGAGTTTGAAGCTACTCAGGCCACCTCTGATGTGCCTTCAATGAAACTGTTGTCAAAGCAGTCAACGGAGATGCTTAATGAGATATGTCTCCGCTGGCGGATTCCAGCCTGCTCCCGGGTTGTGCTGTTCCTCGAGGTGGCTCAGACTAAATTTGTTGACAATGAGATTGACCTCGACACCCTTGACTCGGCGTTTACTTTTGTGAAAGAAGTGCCTACCGGGGAGAACCGCAAGCGCAGTAGCTTTGTGCCTTCCACAGTCTTTGATCGGCGACGATGGACCATACATGATCTTCAAACGATGCAAACGCTGCTATCCAAACTTCATGAGGCTTTGCTCCGAGAGCTATATGAGGCTATGATGGACTGCTTTGAGGCAAAGCCACGCCCACTCGGTCCAGTTATGTACATTCTTGACACCCACGTCCAGATGGATCCCAGCTATGTTGAGGATCCTGAAGACATCAATCGATTCAGCACGTATGTGCAAGAAGGACTTGCCGAAAAAGCAACAGCAAAATATCAAAGCCTTCTTAGTCAACTAATCCCCATGGAGCAAGAGGCTTGGGATCCCGATCATGTCATTCAGCTTGGAGACGCAATCTCAAAACTTGCGCTAAAGATCCAGAAACGCTACCGCAATAACCCGGAGATCATGGGGTGGGTTTTTTTTTCTTTCTCGTCTGTCTAGTTGATCAGTCCCTAACTTACAAGTAGTGTGAACCCCTATACCACCTTGTGTCATAACGTACTCCCTATGTTCGCCGAGGATGTACATGAAATGATCATTAGAATTCTCGAGCAGGCAAAAGCGCGCGGTGAGGAGATCGCTATTGACGAGGGCTTCGACTTATACAAGCAGCTCGCTACGATCAGGCGGTTATTCCATAACACCCATGAGGAGTAAGCTCCTAGACTCCCATACTATTTCTATGAAATTACTAACTTATCTTAGTGCTCCATTCCCATTCCATGTGGAGAGTCTCCTTCAAGACTTCGTCTGGAGATGGCTTCGTCTGACTGATCAAAAGATCATGGATTGGGTCAACCAAGCCACAAGACAAGATCCATTCGCCGTTCGTGCAGATGGAACAACAGACCTTGCGCCTGAAAACGATCGTCACAGTGTGTCGGTCATTGACATTTTCCGGTCTTTCAACCAAGTTGTTGAAAGTATGGTGCAACTAGAGTGGGACGATGATCTTCAATATGCGAAGTTCATGACGCATCTCTCTAATTCAATTGGAAAAGGCGTGGCAACGTACTGTGAATCCTTAGAGAAGATGTTCACGCGGGAGATGGATCGTCTCACACCCGAGCAGGAGGCAGCATTGAACCAAACCACCCAAGAAAAGCTGATGCAGTTCGCCAAAGACACCTGGACAAACAAGGATAAAATCGAGCCCTTCCAATTCTCGTCGGAGGTACGTTATTGTCCCTTTCGACTAGGGAAATATCTCGGCTAACATTTTCCACAGTCCCTGGTAAAACTGAACAATATTGAGTATGCACTTGCTCAGCTCGACAAACTCGAAAGTGACATCAACGTCGACGGGTGTGCCGAAGTCATTGCAAGAAATACTCCGCCTCAGCTCAAGAAGGTCCGCAAGTCTACCACCTATGTCTTCACAATCAAGGTGGTGGAGGCAGAGGACTTGAAAGCATGCGACATTGGTGGTGGCAGCGATCCATATGTCGTCTTGACGGACGAATATCAGAAGCGAATTGCCAAAACTCGCATCATCTACAATAATCTTAATCCCCGATGGGAGGATGCCGTGGATCTCACTACGCAAGGCCCTCTGAATATGATCGCCACCATCTGGGACTGGGATGCAGTGGGCGATCACGACTATGTTGGTCGCACGTCAATCAAGCTGGATCCCGTTCACTTCAGTGATTTCTTGCCAAGAGAGTATTGGCTCGACCTGGATACCCAGGGTCGGCTTCTGCTTCGAGTCAGTATGGAAGGCGAGCGAGACGACATCCAGTTCTACTTCGGCAAGGCTTTCCGTACACTCAAACGAACTGAAAGGGATATGACTCGAAAGATCACAGAAAAGCTTTCGGCATATATCAGTCACTGCCTTTCCCGGCGAACACTCAAGTCTTTGCTCTCTCGCGGACTCAGTATATCTAGTGTCTCGAGCTTCTTAAATCGCAACCGAGCGCAACCAGCTCCTGCCGGACCCACCCCGGCAGATGTCGAAAACGCACTGACTCCTCTGTTCAATTACTTCAATGACAACTTCGCCATCATGAACAAAACCCTCACACCCGAAGCCATGAAGATGGTGATGGCTCGCCTGTGGAAGGAAGTGCTCGCTACTATCGAGAGTCTACTTGTACCACCTCTGTCGGATAAGCCATCCCACCAGAAGCCATTAACCATCCAAGAAGTCGACATCGTATCACGCTGGCTCGTGCTACTGCTGAACTTCTTCCATGCGGTTGACGACGAAACCGGCGAGGCAAACGGCGTCCCAATCGATATCCTGAAATCACCCAAATATCACGAAATTCAATCTCTGAATTTCTTCTACTTCGAACCATCGGAGCATCTCATTCGCACCTCAGAGCGGATGGCCTCGGCGACTGTCAACCGCCAACAAGCAGCCCGCAACCGCAACTCGGCTCCTGTCCACCTCGGTGCCACAGGTGCCGGCTACGGCGGCTTGGGTCTTCCTGCTGCCCGTCGCGCCAAGAGTATCATGCTTTCCCGCAATTTAGGCACGATGAGAAAGGCCAAGGAGGAGAAACGGCGGGAGGCGCAGGCTGATCCGAACGACGACATGATCCTGCGTATTCTTCGCATGCGCCCTGAAGCTGCCGGCTATCTTCGCGATCGTAGTCGTCAAAAGGAAAGACTTGCGGCCGCTGCTGCTGCCGATGCTATCGTGAAACAGAGTCTGATGGCCGGTGCTGGAAGCCGCATGAGCGGTATCATCCCCCGCGGCAGGTGAACATCCACCTTTCTAGCAAGCTCTCCTACCTTTCAGCTTTTATTTCCTCTATTTTCCTTATCCATCAAGCCAGTAATGTTGTGTTCTTTTATTTTTTCTTTCTTCCCTCTTCTCCATTTCCTTCGTATCTTGCATTCTGTCTCATTAAGCATGGACCCTTGACTCTTATGATTCCCAATTTGGCATCTGCTTGTACTCGCGCATGTATGTTCCTCGAGAGAAACGGGATCGGAAATGGAAATAATCAAGATGAAGATTTTCCCGAGGATTTCTACAACATAATTCGATCGAATTCATTCTTATTCTTATTCTAAAGTGTCTTTTATATCGTTTTTCATGACTCGAATAGAAGTAAGTCCTAGATTAAATCGATTCCGGAATCTACTCCAGAGCAATGCACTCAATCTCAACGGGCACACCCTTGGGCAGCTGGTGAACAGCAACACAGCTACGAGCAGGCTTGTGAACGAAGAACTTCTCGTAAGTAGCGTTCATCTCAGCGAAGTTGGCCATATCAGTCAGGAAGACCTAAGAAAAAGAACTCAAGATCAGCAAAGCGGTCCTTCTTCTCATAGCTTGTGTATACTTCTTCCTGACGAAGCCAAGTCCAGAAACATCACAATAACAAAAGTCCAAGGGAGAAAACACATACATTGACCTTGACGATCTTGTCCACGCTGGAGCCAGCAGCGGTCAGGATAGCCTTGATGTTATCGCAGCAAACCTGTGTCTTGGCGCCGATGTTGCCCTCAACCAAGTTGGCGGAGGAGTCAGCGGGGATCTGGCCGGAGACGAAGATCTGGCCGTTGGCGCGGATGGCCTGGGACTGTGGTTTGATTGTTAGATGGTTATCTTGTAATTGTATAATGTGTAGGTATGTGGAATTGGTGTGTTGGAGTGGATTGTTTCGGTATGGAGGGGTAGCTCCCAAGGTAGATGGAGCTGGAATTGCAGATGGAGGGGGGACGACGACGTACGTAAGGGCCGGCAGCTATAGGAGATGTGGGTTAGCTATTGCTCTTTGTTTGTTTTGATTCTTTTTCTGGAACTGGGTCTGCTTTCGATGTCTAATAGACAGGAGAGGAAGCATAGCTGGCGGGACTTGACTTGACTTACGAGGGCAGGCATCCTTAGCGGAGATGATGGACATGTTGGCAGACATTATAGAAGGGAATTGAGGTCTGAGTGGGATTGAAGGACGGAGGATTTGAGATAGAGATAGAAGACGAGGAGTAATTCGTAGCATCGGGAAGAGAAGAGGTTAATTATAGGAAAGGTGATGATAACGAAGGTGCCCCGCTCTGCAAGTTTCCCTCGGAGAGCGTCAATGCTCCCCGATGAAGTCATGCTTTTACTTTACGTTATGGATTTGGTCGTTATTGTTGTTATTGTAGCTGTTATATATATTATATTGGACTTTGTATTAAATCGAGATTCAATTGGGCTAATGCAATAGCAATGCTTGCTTTAAAAAAAATTAAGTCGTTTCGTCGTGATGCGTTAAAAGCCTGCGCCTTCCATGAACATACTATACATGTCAAGATTCTTCAGGGTCATGATTTGCCCAGGTTGCCGAACTGCCGCAATAGGTTGGCAGTCTCCTCGGCAGAGTACCCAAAGAAGACGGGGCCATTGAAGGTGAGGTGGGAGGGAGTTGAGAATGTTGAGGGCATGTCGGGTTTCGTAGTCGAGCCCTCGCTCACATGAGCAGTCGGAGCAACCTGGGGAACAGGCACTTGATCTGCGACAGCATCCTTGGGCCAGGTCTTCGGCCACTCACCAGTCCAGGGGGTCTCGGTTTCAGGCTTTGGAACTTCGGCCTTTGGTTTATTGTGGCCGAATGGACAACCGGGTTTCTTTGGTGTAGCAATGGCATTGTCCTCGGGCCTTTCATCACTCCGAGATGTCTCCATTTCGGGCTTTGCGGCTTCGGGCTTTGATTTGCCGTGACCGAATGGACAGCCGCCGGTGGGCTTAGCACTAAGGACGTCGACATCGGTGGGTTTATCAGGGTTGTCGGCTTGAGGTTCGGGAGATGTGGGGATAGACGCCGAACCAGAGAACGGGGCTGAGGCAGGAGGAAGATGTGTGACAGGCACTGAAATGCCCCAAGGCCTGCTTGGGGATTCACCCACGCGGACTTCACGGAGGGGACGGTCAAAGTGACTCTGGCGGTTATCATCCTCATTCTTATCCTCTTCGTTCTTCTCCTCGTCCTCCTCGTTCTGGGCACTGAGTGTACTGGGATCCACATTCTCAGCCCATTTCTCAACACGTTCACTCGACGCAGAATGCGAGGAGTGGCCTTCCCCGTTGGTTTGACGGTCCGGCAAGAAGGCTTGGTGCTTGACACCTAAGCCAGCGATCATGCTGGTCAAACCACCATATTTGGCATCCAGTTGTCTCATGTCCTGGGGGTTTCGCTGATAACGCTTGACGCAAATTGCGTGACTGCGGGGGATCTCATGTTTGTGTCGTTCAACGTATTCGGCGATTTCTTCTGGGGAGTGTTGATCGAGGAATCGGATCGGGCATCGGGAGACGGGGCATCCTCCTTTTGATGACGGGGCCGATGGGGTGTGGCTAGAGCGTCGGTCTTCGAGTTCAGCCTTGATTGGGTCCAAATGCTCGTGGCCGCAGGTGGCTTCGATCTGGACCTTCGGCGCAAAATTTTTCCCACTGGGGGCCTCACTAGCATTTGCACTCTGCATCTTATTCGGTTTGGAGAAGGGGCAATGTAGATTTCCCTGGGTGCCATTCGTTGTGAAGTCCTTCTCCAGCGTGATTGCTGGAGCCGGTGCTTGCGCGAGGATGCACGAGTTGGAGGATATTTGGGAGAGACTATCTTGAGAACGGAGCAGAGATTTGCATCCTTTGACTCCATTCTTGATAGCCAAGAAAGTATTTTCGTCTACATTTTGATGTGCAACGAGGGTCTTGATTACATCCATGGAATTCAACGGTTGTTCCTCAACGCGAGGCTTGCTGTGTACGAGGCCCTGACGGTATTCTTCTTGCTGGGCGAGCAGCTTGTTTTGAACGTCAAATGCACGATGTCTATCTTGAGGAGGCAGAATTTCTATCACATCTGTGTACTGCAAGATACAAAGTTAGCAATGTTCATCTTGTCAAATGTCATAACAGCCAGGCAGTCATGGTCTCAATCAGATAATACATGTTAATCCGTCATTGCCACAAAGTGACTCCTGATCTAGAGCTTTTCCTCGTCATGCGAGACCAGTATGCGGAAGCAGGGGGAAGGGGGAGAAAGGAGTGTGTATTTACCTGTTTGAAGACATTATCCATGTGCTGAAACAGCTCATTTTGTCTGTGAGTCAGCCGGTACACGGTTAGTAGGAGTGCATCGAAAGCTTTGCCCACGGCCTCGAGCTGGTCATGGTGCAGATCCGGCTGCATCTCGGCAATCATAGCAGGTGACATTGAATGTATTACAGGGTATCAGAAAAAATTCATCTGAGATGGAAGTGGCCTGTTGAGGCTCTCAAACTTCAAAAGCATGAGAGATGGAAAAAAGGAAAACAGGCGGATTTATAGCGATTGGGTCGACACCGGAAAAACTTGAAGCGAGGTGGTCTGTGCTGATCATGTGAGGGGGCTATCCCGTTTTAGGCTTGGGGCCGAGGCCGAGTATACTTCGATGTACCAAGGGGGGTACAAAGATCTACCTTTTTCACTTTGAATAAGGTATCTATATGCAGGTACATGCAGGTACATAGAAGCGGAAACTTATCAGTAGACTATGTGAGAGTTTATAGTGTCTTGGAAGTGTAAGTGTGAGACAATGAGCCAGTACAGTCAATCTGCCCACCTGGGGGTATCCAGGTGAGATTACTTGAAGAACATATGATTGTTTTTGTGGCTTTGGGTATTTGGTGCTCTGGCTTATGGTGTATAAATAATGTAAAATTACGTGTTTGTGTGATTTCTAATCTATGAAATCAACACTCACCGAGCGGATGTTGGGGTATATATATATTTGCAATAAGCGGTCCAGATTAAAACATATATACTCCGTATATGATTGGTGGTAGCTAGATTACAGTAGAAGCAAACATAGGAGTTGATATTATATTACACAATAATTCAAGCCGAATCAATCCAATTATAATTTTAATTTTGGAAGCGTTGACTCTATTCATTTCGAACTCCCACCATCTTTGGCTTATGTAGCACTATATTGCAGCCTCCTTCAACAGCCCGGCCGGGCTAGCTCAATCGGTAGAGCGTAAGACTCTTAATCTTAAGGCTGCGGGTTCGACCCCCGCGTTCGGCTATTCCTAAAAACCAAACCTGAGATTTCTTTTTTTGTTCTTTTATTTGATTTATGAACTATGATTTATAACCGAGTATCCCCTTCCCCTGTTGATCTCGGTCATTTATTTAGTGTTTTGTTTATATCGTACTTTTGTTCTGTCCCTCAGCCCAAATGAGGGGCGGATCATTATACAATTACACAGAGAACGGACAAATCCCCCCCCACCATCTGCACAACAGACATCCCGGCATGCAGCGCGCATGTCTGTTTCCAGTAAAGCCACTGTGATGAGTTTCAGATCACGTCGTGGCCTACGACATTCTATTGGCCCGGGGCTAGGTGTAATGGCTGTATGATGTGTCAAGGCCATCCGGCGCATATCCGTTCAGATGGTCTGATCCAATGCCGTCCTAAATATCCGGTCTGGACAACATCCAGGGTGAGTCATTTATGATGACCTCTTGAGATAGTTTGGTAGTTTTAGTTCTAGTTCGGGTTTCTGCCTGCTGGACCCCTAAAGTAACCCTAAACCCCAGGTCGTAGTTCAACGGTCTAGGCTTTTGGACAACTGGAACACAAAGGGATGACGAAGGAGTGGTATCAGTTTGCGACAACAGTCCCCTGACGATGAGGGGACTGAGCACTAAGTTTACGGGGGGTTAATTAGGGTCTCGCAGATCCGACCCCGGTTGGGCATATCTAAGAGCTACGCTGTACTCCGTGGTTTGTACGAATATAGTAAGGTGTACTCGGTATACTTACTAGTTTACTAGTGTTTGTAGTAAGTACGGTAGTTGTACCTTCTAGAAAGAAGATGCAATTGCGTGACCGCAGTATCAAGGTATTTTACCGTGGCGGGATCTGACCGCTGATTTGTATACATTACTGTGTATACTTTGGTATATTTGATCTAGAATATCTATTATAGTACTATATATCACTATATATATCGCTATATATAGTAGTATATTATTATATATTACTATATATACATCTATAACATGTATAAAGTATATAAAGTATATATAGTAATGCAAATATGGAATATAAAATACTCCAAAGGTCAAAAAAACAAGTAACGATCTAGACCTGAGGGGCAAACCGATTATCCTTATCTGTAATTTTCACCCATTTCCTTTTTTTTCCCTCCAAATATTTTTTGGTTTTTTTAATTTTTTAAACCCTTTTACTTCAAAGCCTCTTTCCCCCTCTTTCCCCCCTTCCTTTCTATCATCATGTCCTCCACTCTCCCAGATGCCTCCAAAGTCGGACTCCCCGCCTCCGATGCCACCAGCGCCGCCGAACTCGCCAGTCTTAAGGTAAGACTTCGCGCGGCCCTGCGCCAGTTCCCGGATTTCCCCTCTCCCGGAATCTTGTTCGAGGATATCCTTCCTATCTTCGCCGATCCTTCTCTGCACGAGGCCCTGATCCGCTCCCTGGAACTTCACATCATCGCCAACCACGGTGATCAGAAGCCCGATGTCATTGTCGGCCTCGAGGCCCGTGGCTTCCTGATGGGTCCCAGCCTGGCGCTGCGTCTGGGTGCTAGCTTCGTCCCCGTGCGCAAGCAGGGCAAGCTCCCCGGTCCTTGCGAGACCCAGGGCTACGAGAAGGAGTATGGTCAGGATTTCTTCCAGATGCAGGCCGGTTCCATCAAGCCCGGCCAGAAGGTCCTGGTCATTGATGACATTATTGCTACTGGTATGTGATGAGAATCTCCGGTACTTAAATACCCTTCGTACTAATAAACTATTTTTAGGTGGCTCTGCCAAGGCCGGTGGTGAGCTGATCCAGAAGATGGGCGGCGAGCTCCTCGGTTTCATCTTCCTCCTCGAACTTGAGTTCCTCCACGGACGCGACAAGCTCCCCGCGCCGGTTTACACTCTCCTCTCTGGCCAGGCTTAATTTATACACACACCGCTTTCTCAAAAAAAAATCATTCTCTTTCTGCGACGATCTCAACTGCCGATTATAATGACCCCATCCTTTCCAAAAGCCCGACCACACCCGATCTTGCGGTGAGCGTCTGCCATCCGCTCCTCCCGGGCCCAATCAAACAATTCACTCGAACTTCGAGTCTGGAGCCTTGTTTCGCTGGTCGACGGCACCCGCCACAGCTGGCGCAGAGCTGCCCGGATAATATCCCCAATATAGACAAATAGCTTTTATCAATGCAACTTGATATGTGTATAAACTGGCTACTCCTATCTTCTTATTGTAATAGAATAGGTTTCTGTTGAACCTGACATGACCCAAAGATATTGATATACTTTTTGGAATGCATCTTATCAATCTATAGTATTTCACTCCTTAGGAATGAACTTCCTCATCACCTCCTCCACCCATTCCTCGGGAACCCCTAAATCCACAGATTCCCGAATAGCCCGATTCATCCTCGCAATATACTCAAATTTCGGCCCCGAAAGCTTCACGCAGTTCTCATCGACATAAACCAAAACAGGCACCTTCCCCTCATCCAGCCCCGCCCTAAACTTCTCCGCCCCATCCAACCATTTCACAACATCCGCCTCGACAAACCACTTATTATAAGAGCCCCTTCCCTGCACTTTGGGCCTAATAGAAACAGGCACACCATCCCCAGGCCCCGCATCAATAGCAGATGTATCAACACCCTCATAACCATCTAGAATCCTCTCATCGCCAACATCCATCTGGTAAAGAACACCGTAGACAGTATCCTCGGACCCGGAGATTGGGATCTTATGCGCAGTCTCGGAGTCTTGATTCGCAACGCGCAGACCAGGTGGTGGGAGGACATTTGCGTAGCCGGCTTCGCAGATTAACCAGCGCCAGTGCGGGAGGGTTGCGATTGCTAGTGGAGTGGAGGAGTGGGTTGGATTTATGCGACAGCGGGTTTTCATTTGGGATGGCGAGAGATTGGAGCCGTAGGCGAAGTAGAGATATTTTGGATATTCAAGTGGGTTTAGGGCTGGCGGGGGGGGTTGGGGCCTGGGTGTGTTTTTCTGCTGGTTGCAGGGTGATTGGATCGGAAGACATTGTTTCTGATGAAATTGGATTGGATTGGATATTGTTATGTGTAGTTCGATGTGGAAGGGAGGAGTTGAGAAGAGGTAGGAATATGAGTCAAAAGAGTAAACATGTGCATAAGCTTAGCTCCGATTGCGTTATTTTCATATCAATCTCTACATATGAGGTCCAACCCATCTCTACTACTATACTTCTTTTTACTTAGGCGTATACAAAGGCAGTAAGGAAAAGAACTTTTCTATGTATAACTTTTGATCGAATCTCTGCGTTATAATTTACCTACATTGGCCCGAAAAAGTGCTGTTCAATTAGTCTATATGAAGTACTAAACTACCGGGGATCTATAGAAATAGAGATATTAACCTATATAGATATTGTTGGCGGAATTAGGGAAGCCCAAGCTGGTTAAATTCTTCCTATTTCTAAATAACCTCATCCTGCACGTCTTCGAAGTCTCACGGCCACCTTCTTCGTAGGTGGTAACGTCCCGTATGGCGCCCATCGTGTGTCCGGCCTGACCTGTTCAGCTTGCTGAACATCGACCAGCTCACATTCAAACAATTCCAAGAGCAATCCCAGCGTGCCAATGATTTCATTCTTGGCGAAATGGCGACCTGGGCACATACGGTGACCTCCACCGTAAGGCATCCAACATTCAGCCAAGCCTTCAAGACTGAATTTTGCATCTTTGTCCTTTTGAACAAGAAAGCGTTCTGGCCAGAATTCATCCAGAGGTTTGGCAACGCTCTCGGGTCTTGTGGCTGCCCAGGCTTGTCTGTTATAAGCCGTAACCGAAGAGAATATTGTCATTATTATATTTTTGCCAATAGTATAATCTGAATCTAGCCTGAAGTTGGCATCTTCATTTGTGCGTATTGTGGTGGTTGTGACGCGGAGGCGTAATACTTCTGCGTAAGTGGATTGCAGCAAAGGTTTAGTGGAAAACTTGGGAATATCCAAATCGCCAGTTTCGGGCTTCAGACAACCTTGGAGCTCGATCTTGAGATTTTCTTGTAATTCCAAGTCCTTGAAAGATTCGAGAATATACCAGAAAACAGCGGGAACGGCATTTGCATTAGATCTGGGAGGCCATTCAGTCGAGCACGTTTCCTTTTAAAATGAGGAATTACTTACCCAAAAAGAAGGGCAAGGTTCTCCGATACGATTGAGTCGTTATTCATGCCATACTTCCTCATATAATCTTCACGCGCTTTGATGTATTTGGACCCGAAGAATTTATCCCACTCGGGCCCGTCTTCCCCATGCTGCCTATAATCCGATTCGCGATTTGCGAGCCGATTCCATGCTTTGATATTCGCCAGCAAGCGATCCCGAGTCTTGTATTCCGATGGAATCATCCACCGAGGCAAGCCACGGGAATAGTTGGGGACCTGATGCTCGAATTCCCAAAAGTCCTCCACGATGCCAGGATACATTTCTAGCAGTTGCAAACCCATCATAGCTTCAATAACCGAGGGAGTAATCTGACTCTGCAGCCATGTGTAAAAATCCGAGATCTCTATCCAACTATCAGTTGGAATCTCGAGCCCAACTAGCCTGTTCTTGAGAACTGAAAGGTATCTCTCTGAGATTGCTAGGAGGTGTTTTCCAGACAAGTACTTGAGACTGGTCTTCGCTTGGAAATCATGCATATGCTCCGGCTTTTTTCCCGGTGTTGAGGCGCTGGGATCATGAGCAGCATAGAAGTGCAAATATTCTTTGGGCGTACAGAACCATTTCTCCATGACAAATGCCATCATAGGTCTGTTTGTCAGGGTTCTAGAAGACCGTAGTATGGATCTAATATGAATTGGGTTGACAATCATTGTGAATCCGAAGGGTCCAGCGCGGACTCCAATGGGTGAAAGATAACCCCAGCGTTTACTAAAGTACTTGTTAGGTAATATCACGACTGCGTATAACTAAGTGACTGACACCGTGTTATCCAGGAAGCTGGCCACGCTCCATCCTAGGTCAAAGGCATGGTATAGTCCTGGGAGGTAGTATGGAAGGGTTGGTGCTGGTTTTCCGGGCCTCTGGCTGTTTCGAGTCCAGATGAAGTTAAAAAAGGATAGCGTATATGTTGAAACAAGAAGCGTCAACAAGGCGAGGACTGCGACTTGGAAAGACGTAGAAAATATGCCAAGGGCTGGATTGACAAACAATGGACTTTCCTAGGAAATAAAAAATGCTATTAGCAAACTGAAGCTAAATCTGGTCCAGTTTGAGACATGCATGGATACCTGGTAGAGTATCAGAAGCTTGCTGTGACTCTCAGAGATGTTCCCTGTGCTGGAGGAGACCCCTTTCAAAATATATGAAGCCATGAGTGCAGAAACAGAAATCTTTTTGAATATATTCCCGGCGAAAGGGCATTATAGCTGATTTAATATACAAGTGCGAGTGTATCCTGATATGTACTAGTTCAAAATGGGCAAGCTTACAGTGGACTCTGCATCTACCCATGTCAACCCCGTCGGGGACCGTTAATAAAATAGATTGTTTCCCTATTATTTGGTATCCAATGGGGTTCCTTCAAATACAAAATATATCTAGGCTTATGGTCGCTGGCGTATCCACAATGCATCATGTCTAGGGAGCCAATAGCTTCGAGGACATCAACCTCCGCTTATAGGTTCTTTTTGGAGGGAACGATGGATTGTCGGGACACTCCCACCATGGCCGAGTAGCTTTGGTACATACAGACTATAGTGACAAATTAGCATTATCATTCAACAATAGGCGATAAGCGTTTAGCGAAAGTGAATTGCTTACAGCCTGGAATAAGAATCCAAAAGGAGTTGAGGAAGATGAAGTATCCCCAATAGTAGAAAGTCTCTGGACGAGAATAAGACACTCCATGGTAGGATTCCTCTAAAATGCTTGTCCCATAATACAAGACGTCGCCATAGAATTGGCCCATAGAGACAATGATCTGTGTTGGATGGCGGTGCGGAGACTCCGTAACGATCATCCATGCGATGGAATAGCATAGAGGTCCCCATGCAAACTGTGTAAGATTTTAGTATAATTATTTACAGGCGAAGATGTAGCACACTTACGGCTGTAATCGACTCCATACAAAGTACGAATGGCTCCATAGTCATGTATCGAGAATCAGCCTTGGCATACTCCTTCCACATTTGACCAAGAAGATCTAGCCTACGTGGCATTGTCTTGTGGTTATACACAAAGTACCCTTCTAGAATGAAGTGTATACATCCACCTAAGGAGTGTTAACCAGGCTTTATCCGGTGTGGATGTAATATTGAACTTACTAAAGATGAACCATCCCACCAGAATCTTATCTGCTCGCGATATACTCGGTTTTATCGTCTTTAGAACAAAAGAACTAAACCCGATAATACCAACGGTTGCAATAGCAAAAACGCCAAGAAGTGCAGGGATGCTCATAGTATTGGCGACATAACCAATAGCATTGAGTCCTGGGGGTAAAATGGGTGATTTGGTATGGTTGCCATGTTCTTCAGGGAAATGGATTCCAGGGAATCAATCGATAAGAGTGGTGCCCACACGATTTGGTGTATGCGAATGGGCCAGAAACGAAACTACATAGCTGATAGAAGCTTTTAAGGATTGGGAGAGATTGAGACGGGCCGTGCCTGGATGTGAACACGCCACTCGGAACGAGCTTCTGCACCGATTCTTATTAAATATAGCAAGGATTGGTGGTAGCCTACGCCAATCACTCCGTGCGTGTGGACTTCCCCGCTTAGATATGAAGTGCGGCGGGTACTATGTGTATATTAGTTTGGACTTCCCGAGCCAATTAAGAACATTCAGTTAGAGAATAACAGGGCGTGGTTGGTCACAGACAAGGCCGTGGATTAGATCTTCCCCGTTGTAGAGCAAAAATGGCCCCTATCGCAGTCCCCTTTCCATCTAGGCATACTCGGACATTCCAAACCCGTTAATCCCGATGGTCCGAAAACAATCCTCTGGTCAAATATTCTCATGTCAATTGACAAGAGCAATATGGAGCATATAACCTCGCACCGGGAGATTGGTCTTGACATGTTTGGTCTCATAATATTACACTTGCCTAACTAATTACTGCATAGCTGTATCATCTTGATTGTATCCAAGCGGAAGCCAATAGTGGTTGATAGTGGCATATGGGGCCAAATTAAGGTTCTCTTGGATGCCAATGACATATTCCAACACCATGGACATTAACTCTGATGGTAGTAGAAACCCCATATTGCCTTGCTTAAGGGAGGCTAAGGAAGTCTTGGAGATATGATGTAGAAATAGTTTGGACAGGAACTGCTCTGATAGGAGGCTGGGGTTGAGCTACTTATTACTTTAAAATTACCATTGCATATTGAGTTGGAACCGGTAATCATATTTTTCAGCTTAGAATCTTAAATTTCAAGATGAAAGATTGTTTAATGTGTTACGTACTTCCCTATTCGGATGTTTTGAAGGTAAAATACATCCATGGATACAGAGATAAGTATCCATGGAGATCGAAGTTGTCTGCCATGGGACGTTGGTATACTATGCCTTTTGGAAAGCTGGACTGAAGATATCTCTATCTACTTTGTCTCATCCCGAGAGAAGAGCGTCTACCAATACGCCACAATGCCGAGCTCGAAGCACGACATCGAATCCAACTCCTACGGCAACTCGAAAACGAACACTGGAAATGCTGCGTGGTGTGTATGAAGTTACACCCGCGCTCGGCATTTAAGCCCTCCAGACAATCCACGAAAGCGAGCTCTTGCTACGAGTGTGGTTTACTTACTAGTCACCCTGACGTACAAGTCGTAATCAAAACGGCCCTTATGACTAAATCCGTCAAGGGGATCTCAAATTCAAATCTTCGTATGTGGGCAATGCCTACGATTTCGAATTATCGAAGGGATTACCTGGCGCGCTGAATGGTATCTGTCCACACAAGGAGACCAAGAAGTGGCTCAGGCAATTCTTTATCGAAACGGGATTGGATTACTCTGTGTGTTGCAGGGGAGTTGTAACACCAATGAAGACAGAGCCCCATCTTATAAAGATCCTTACTGTGAGGAATTTAGGTTATAGAAACTGGAATCAGCGAGGATGGAAGAACAATCGGGATGATCGCGGTTGAACTTATTATATAGCGAGGACACACTTGATATTTGACTATATTGTGAGACTGGTTCACCCGAGAGAACTTGCTGTCATATCGTTATATCGTCTATTTTTTATCTGAGGCTGAAGTCCGGAGTTAGAGTTCCAACCCTTGCAAGGCGATGATCAACCACTTCACACCTTTCGGTCATTAATGACCGATATATCTCCACTAGATCTCCACTAGATATCCCCACAAGTGACTATCCGACTGAAATAACTCGATGGCCAATTGCGGGGGTTGTCTATTCGTGCATCCACATACCGGAAACCAACTTCCGCCAGAATTTGATATATCAAGTCTTCCACAAGTCAAAGGATTCTATATTTTCAATTCTAAAAAGAAAAATACAAGAAAAATCCAAAATGGCACCCAACAAACTAGCAATCGCCAGTCTCTCCTTGAGCCAATATCCTGGCCACCTCCTCGACCACAAAATCCGCGCCGCAGCCCAAGCCGGCAGCGCGGGAATCGAAATAGTCTACAACGACCTCCTCACCTACAGCCAAAACCAAAACATCTCTATCCACATAGGAGCCCAAAGAATCTACACCCTCTGCCAGGAAACAAACATCCAAGTCCTCTCTCTAGCCCCCTTCGAAAACTTCGAAGGTTCAACAACCCCTCTAAAAGAAAGACTCACTCTCGCCGCGCACTGGCTCGAGATCGCCCGTCTACTGCATGCACCTTACCTACAAGTCCCATCAATCTTCACAGCAGACTGCAGTCGCGATGAAAAAATAATCATCTCCGACCTCCAGCAACTATCCGACCTAGCCAGCTCCATCAAGCCAATAGTATCAATCGCCTACGAGCCCCTGTCATGGGGAACAAACTGCTCAACCTGGGAAAGCGCGCTGTCAACCGTGCAGCGGGTTGACCGTGCGAATTTCGGACTGTGTCTGGATACCTTCCATGAAGGGACGCGGTTGTGGGGTGATAATGCTTCTCCGACGGGATTGCAGATGGATGCGGAGACGAAGTTGAGGGATTCGTTGAGGAGGTTTGTGCGGGATTGTCCGCGGGAGAAGATTTTCTATGTGCAGCTTTCTGATGCGGAGAGGTTTGAGACGCCTTATTCGTTGGCGCATCCGTGGGCGTTGCCTGGTGAGGCGAAGGAGTTTACTTGGTCGAAGCATGCGAGACCTTTTCCTTTGGAGGTTGAGCTTGGGGCGTATCTGCCTGTTGTTGAGATTGCCAGGGCGTGGATTGTGGAGATTGGGTTTGAGGGGTGGGTTTCCATGGAGGTTTTTGATCGGAGGATGAGGGATGGGAAGGTTAGTCCTGAGGCTGCGGCTAGGCGGGCGGTTGAGTCGTGGAGGAAGGTTCAGGTTGAGATGGAGGGTAAGTCGAGGCTTTGAGTTGAAGGGTATTGTGGGTTGTATATAGAACTAGGGTGGATGGTGAGTATAGTAGACTATTATCAAATGAATCCAGTTCGATTCTCTGTGAGCTGGAGGGTTTGACTATACAAGTCTAAACCTATGTACATCTGTGAAACATAAAACAAGCGCCCACAAATGATCCGAGAGTCTTCCAAAAGGGTATAGTATATCTGTGTGAATATTCAAACAATGTGTAAATTCGTGATTGGGACACCACGAGAGCGCATGCTATATCGTCTCTTGACTCCGATGCCGTTTGCATGGCGTAGTAGCTCATATGTTTCCTCTCCGCCACCGACCATGACCATGCTGATGAGGTAGTTTCGTGGAATGCCGCTGGCTGTCATTTGAGCTTCATCGAGGTGTGGACGGATGAGAGTGGATTCAGCGCGGACGGCGGCGAGCGCAGAGCGAGACCCAGTTTGTTTCGTTGACTCTTTCCTCTGCTCGTGGAACCCGTGTGGTGGCACGTCATCGTATGAAACGACGACAATTAACTTCAGCGCGGATCGCGTTGGTCGGTATGCAGGGATGTTGCGAAGCTTTTCCGAGAATGTGCAGCCGCCACGTTTGATAACAAGGACTTCGTGGTTATGGGCGACCTCGCGGGGAATACCCTCGTTGCAGAGATCACCGGCGAAGTATATACTTGACCACGACAGGCGGTCTGTCGATGGGTTGCCGAGTAAGGACATTGTAACTGCATCTTCAATATCTGGAAGCGGGCTGGCCCCAATGCCTGAAGAGATAGCAGCGGGGAGAGTCAACCTGAGTGGAGCGGGTTCGGTCGGTTCGTTGTGAAGTAATGACGACACCGAGTGCATCAGAGACGATAGCATGGCTCTTACTGTTGAGTCCGGGGAGTCAACAATTGCGGCATCGTTGACCGAAGAGGCGGGGCTGTGGCCTGCGAGACGGGGCTCTGGTGGGTGTGGACTTTCTGGTTGAGTTTCTTCATCTCGTGGATGAGCCGAAGCATTACGTCGGCGAGAGGGCTCTGGGAGAACGTCAATGACGAGGTCAAGCATGGCATTGTCGCGAACACGGGTGAAGTTCGGATCATACGGATCGACGACATCAAAGGTGATTTGGCGAGAGAGGTATACCTTCTCATCTTTGCCCAATGGCACATTGTTGATCACCTGCACCCGGTACCCGTCTTCCTCCTCCCCAGTTGTGGCTGTTGGGGGTTCCAACCGTACATCCTGAACCATACTCAATCGGAGTCCTCCAATTGTTTTTACAAGTACTCCGTCTAGGACACGTTCCAAAGCTCCAGGTCCCATGTTTACGCCGCCTGGGAGTGATGGGAATGAGATGTCGAGCGTGGGCCGAACGGCCATGGGCGCGCTGGTGGCGTTGAATGGGACAAGTTGAGGTGGCAGCGTCCACGGGTAGAATGTGTAATTGGTTGGTGATGAAAGGTCAGACACAAAGACGCTCTGATGTCCAGGTGAGTCTTTCAAAATAGGACCTGCGGCCACTCCTCGATCAGGCATCAGATCCAGCCGCGCCAAGTTGGCAGCATGGAAGATGTCTGTTCGGGATGCCGTGGAGGACACGCCGAAGAATGGAGAGGGGATAATTTGACATACTCCCTCGGCAATGTCCTGACCTTGAGATGGCGTTTGCGGCGGGCGAGGTGTAGATGCCGATTTTTTCGGAATGATGAGAGGATGGCCTTCGGTGTTAAAAACCCAGGGAGCATCGATCTTGTTCAATGGATGCTCCAGGTCAAACAGCAGGTAGAGATATTTGGCTGTCTCTCCAATGAAGAAACTTTCCATCCGGTCGATGAGCTCACCAGTCAAAACATTCCGAATGCCAGCCCAACCACACTTGGTCCAGCAACGCCGCTTGAGGTCGCTGAGAACCATCTCTCCAACATGCAGATACCAAGGATC